CCTGTGAGCCATCTCTCCAGTCCCCTGTAGTGAACATTTTAATGGTGTACCAAAATACTGAAAATGCTTAATGTTTGCAAGAAGTAACTCACAGCACTTTTTACTTGTTCTGTAGCTCAGACTAGCCCCTAAGTCTTGATCCTCCGGCCTTCCAGCCTTGTAGCACACATCTGTCATACCACCTTCAGATCATCCCATTCTCATGGGTAGGTTTTGTTCAGCAAAGTACAAAGAAAAGGAAAAAGATTTTTCTGTATTTTGATATTCATAATTGTATGTTATTTTAACTATGGAGAGATTGCTGCATTTGTTTATGCTATGGGCTATTTCTTTAACTGTGTAAAGGTGTGTTACTTTTGTTTATGCTGCAGTGTTTAATTATGTAAAGATGTGTTGCATCTGTTTCACCTTGGCTACCTAAGGCACCTGATCGGTCTAGTAAAGAGCTGAGCAGCCAATAGCTAGGTGGGAGAAAGGATAGGCGGGGCTGGTGGGCAGAGAAAATACACAGGAGGAGAAATCTAGGCTCAAGAGAAGGGAGAGGAATGTAAACTAATGTTTCCTGTCTGCACCGCCCAGTGGTCCCAAATAACTGACTCAGAGGCTGAATATGAATTATAAATAGCCAGTAGCTCAGGCTTATATATTATATATTATTATTAGCATGGCACATCCATCTCCTGCTACCTCTGCATCTGGCTGGTGACTCCTGACTCCGTTTTTCTCCTTCCCATCATCCTTAGTTTGGTCACCCCGCCTAGACTTCCTGCCTGGCTACTGGCCAATCATCATTTTATTAAACCAATTTGAGTGATAAATCTTTACAGTGTACAAGAGGATTATTCCACAGCAGAGGAATGAGGGAAGAACGAGGGAGAGAGAGGGGCACCCTGGAGGCCAGAATCCAGGCAGCCGCCAGCCACGAGAAGCAGTGAAAGTAACATGCACAGAAAGAAAGAAGGTAAAAGCTCCGAGGCCGAAGGTGGATAAAGAGAAACAGGTTAAGATAAAAGAGCTAACCAGAAATGAGCCTAAGCTAGGCCAAGCATTCAAAACTAATAAGTCGGCTGGGCGGTGGTGGTGCACGCCTTTAATCCCAGCACTTGGGAAGCAGAGCCAGGCGGATCTCTGTGAGTTCGAGGCCAGCCTGGTCTACAGAGTGAGATCCAGGACAGCCAGAACTACACAGAGAAACCCTGTCTTCAAAACAAAACAAAACAAAATCACTAATAAGTCTCAATGTCATGATTTGGGAGCTGGTTGGTGGCCCAAAAAGAAAAAGCCTGTACACATAATAGCTGAGATTTCCCAGGGGGACTGGCCTGGCCGGTCAGTTATGTCACCTCTCTATACCTGTTTCCATGTGTATTGTAATCCCAGCCTCACGGGATTGTTCAAGGGTCCGGGGCTTACTTTTCTCCTTGGTGTGACTAAGTACTTGGCAAAGCTCAGCAGGAGGAAGGGTTTGCCTTGGCTCAGTCTGAGGAGACAGTCCATCACAGCAGGCGGGGAAGGAACCCCGAAGCCAGAAGCAGAGATGAATGCTGCTATCCGAAGTGCATGCTCCTTTGTGTTCAGTCCAGAGCCCTAGCACATGGAGTGGTATTGCCACAGTTAGGGTGGATCCCTCCACCTCAGTTAACCCTGTCTAGAGACTCCCTCACAGGCGAGCCCCAAAGCGTGGCTCTTAGGTGATTCTGGAACCTGTCAGGTTGACAGTATAAACGTCACAGGGATTAAGAAGGTGAACTATAGAGTGTCTGGTGCTGGGAAGGGCTGCTGATCCTTGGCGCCTGTGAAAGCTTTCGTAGGCGTGTGTTCCATTACAGGGTAAAGCCCTCCTAACTTCTCAATCAAAATAAGAAAAGGCAGAAGGCAGAGGAGGAGGTAAACGGTGTGGATGCAGCACGGAGCTAGGCCTTAACTACTTTCCAAATAGTTAACATGATGTTCAGGTTTATATAAAGAAAGGGCTCTGTGAATACTGAAAGTGTAGTTTTAGCCGGGTGATGGTCAAGTGCGCCTTTAGTCACAGCCCTGTCTTGAAAAACCAAAACAAACGTTTGGTTCTAGATTTTCCGTCTCTGTAGCGCCTTAGCCTTTTTCGTTTGTTTTGACTGAGATGGGGTCTTGTGTACACCAAGCTGGCCTTGAACTTGCTGTCCTCCTGGTTCCACTTTGCAAGTGCGTCACCATCGTCCAGTTCTTCTTAGCCTGAGTGCTGCCCTTCTGCCAGCCGCGATGCTCTTGCCGGTTGACAAGAAGCTTGAAGCGCTGGTCTTTGCAGCGTCTGTATCCCTCAGTGTGTGACACTGAGAGAGCCGGTGCTGTCTACTGTCACAGCTCGAGCAAGTCCTCCTATTGGAACCCTTAGCTGCACGGTTTGCAGCTCTCGTGAGTGCCTAGCAGGTCGGGATTCCTTAGTCCGAGGCAGCAGCTGGCCTGGGCACTTCCGGGTGGACTAGGTACCAAGGTTGCTCGGCCTCTCAAGCCTTTGACAGAGGCCAGTGGTGCAGTTCCTAGGTGTCAAGTGTCCCTTTTCCCTGAAGGCCTGAAGCTCTCTGGAACTCTTGCAGCCAGGAGTCTGCAGTTTCCTTCCGGTGGCTCTTTATGGCCTTCCGTCCTTCAGCCTGGGGTGTCTTCTCTCCACTTCCACTTCCCTCTCTGACTGCTTGCTCCAGCCACTGTCACCTCTGCCTGGGGCGCTGCTTTGGGTTACCAGCAGAACAGAAAGAAACAACAGAAGTAGGTAAGAAAAGACCAGTCGAGAAAAGCAGCCTTTTATTAATAGAACTAGTGGCAGTACCCAAGGGACAGCACAGGGACATATCTTCCAGCCAACTCACGGAGTGAGCTGGACAAGCTGCTTACTTACATAGCTCAAGAAAGGGAGTTTCCACCATTCACACACACACACACACACACACACACACACACACACACACACACACACATCACAGGCGAACTTGAAGGCTTATATTTGCGCCAATCACATCTGTCTGCTAGGCCACCCCTGTGGCCTAGGTAGAAATGGTTGTAGGGTCCGTTATGTTTCACCAAGGTGTGTGACAGCAAAAACATCTGGAATTGACTTTTAAAAGGCCCTAGTTGAGGCTGAGCCTTGAGCTAGAACAGTCACTGCAATTGTCTAGTCCCTCAGGATGTCTACAGTGTGTAAACAGTAGATGCTGGCACAGGGTAGACCAGGGCTGTTGACTACCAATCCTTTGCTCAAGGCGGCCAGAGCAGCACAGAGTCCAGCCACTGCGACTACAGAGTCAGATTGCCCCACCACCCAAGTCTGCTTACAGAAAGGTGAGCATCAGGGGTTTACAGTAAGACCTTAAGGAACTTACACCAACATTAATAGTTTGTTGTTTAACAAACTTTAACATGACTTAGTAACTGCTGGGTACCATGAGGAACATGTGCTCTGCTTCTCTGTTCCATAGAGCTGTCTACAGCTGTGCACATGTATTGAGACTTCAATTCTCATTTTAATGTGTGTCTATGAGTGGATATGTGCACCTGAGTGCAGGTGCCTGCAAAAGCCAGAAGAGGGTGTCAGATCCCAGGGGTGTGGGTGTTGGGAACCAAACTCAGGTCTTCTGGGAGAGGAGCCGGCACACTGATCCATCTCTGATCCATCTCCTCTGCCTGAACTTACATTCTTTTGGTGAATCTTGGTCCCTTACTGTGCCTCTCCTCTAGTAACTCTAACTCTGCCTTATCTATGATTACAGATACTCATAATGTGTTATTTATTGCATGCCTACTACATACAAGGCTTTGCCATACTAATAGAATGTTAATGAAAAGCCTCGTCTTCAGAGGGTATGTTATGGAGTGCTGCTTTCCCACCATCCCAACACAATTGTAAAGTAAGGTTTGCTGAGAGTAAGCTGGGAACTGAGATACCACATTTGCTTACAGTGTGTACAGTATTAACAACCGTGTGTGTGTGTGTGTGTGTGTGTGTGTGTGTGTGTGTGTGTGTTATGAAAAATCAGATGTGGTAGTGCAAACCTGTAATCCCATCACTATCAAGACTGAGGCAGGAGGATTGCTACCAGGTCAAGGCCAGGCTGGACTAGCCCAGAGCTAGTCCCAGACTTGTAGTGGGTAGTCATTCCAGCTTTGATCTGGAAGTTCCAACCCCCATTGAGGCTTCGGTAACTGTCACGCCTACAAGGCGGGGCCGAGAGAGGGCCCTGAAGACCTGAGATCTGGATGCATGGGCTCTCTTGGTTCCTGGACCCTGGACGCTGGAGGTAGACTGAGCAGAGTTCTCCAGAGAACACTGCCGGACTGCGCTACACCTTTCCCAGACCCTGTTACCTATCCCTTTACTTGTGAGTTACCCCACAAAATAAACCTCCCTTTTAACTACGTGGAGTGGCCTTAATAGTTTCACCAATACAGACTAGCTAGCCTGAGCTCCAGAGTAAAACCCTGTGTCAAACAAACAAACAAAAACCAGCGAGGTGGTGGTGGCGCACGCCTTTAATCCCAGCAAAGCCAGACTGATCTCTGTGAGTTCAAGGCCAGCCTGGTCTAGAGTGAATTCCAGGACAGCCAGGACTACACAGAGAAACCCTGTCTCGAAAAAATAAATAAAAATAAAAGGAGAATGAGGAGGAAGGGGTGGGGGCGGGGACAAGAGGGGAGGTGGAAGAGCAGGAAACATCTGGGACTGGAGGGCGGGTGTAGGCAGACTAGCCGAGGACAGGTGCTCCTTTCCACGGCCCTGCACTGCCTCATGGAAACCTTCTCTAAACGCCTTCCTCCAGAACAACCTGGCTGACGTTTGCTCCCCATATTTCAGCTGAGTCTGGAACGCCAGCATTTGGGAGGCTGAGGCAGCAGGAACTTGAGATCAGGATCATCTTCGGGTGCATTGGAAGACAAAAACAGATGAAAGAACCACACAGATTTCTTCATTTCTAGGCTTGGTTTTTTTTTTGGGGGGGGGGGGTCTTTTTTTTTTTTTTTTTGTTTTTCGAGACAGGGTTTCTCTGTGTAGTTTTGGTGCCTGTCCTGGATCTCACTCTGTAGACCAGAATGGCCTCAAACTCACAGAGATCCGCCTGCCTCTGCCTCTCGAGTGCTGGGATTAAAGGCGTGCGCCACCACCGCCCGGCCTAGGCTTGTTTTTAGAGCTATGAGTCATGGTTTTCAGCTATTGCCCAAAGCTTCCTGTTCTACGCCATTCGTACTGACCAGCTTTGTGTTATGATAAAGTTTAGGAGATAGTTAGCTTAAAAGGAGAAAAACGCAAGCCAGCAGGGTGGCCCAGTGGGTAAAGGCATCGCTCTAGGCCTGACAGGACCTGGGCTCAGTCTCCTTATCCTGCCCCTCCCCACCCAATGCCACAGGAGAGCCGACTCCGGCAGGTTGTCCTCTGATCTCCAAATGCACACTGTGGCCTGTTCACACACACTAATAACAATTAAAGAGGAAGAGTGAGCAACCGCACAGCTTTGCGTTTCTCATCAGGGCACCAGATGGCAGGGGCAGAGGCAACAATCAAAAGGAGAGAGAAAGGAACCAGACCCCCAGGACTCAAAGAAACTTCCAGAAGGCCCCACCCCCTGAGGGTCCATGGCACCTCCTAGTAGCATGACCCTGGGCACTAAGAGGCCAGGACAGAGGCTGAAGGACTGTCAGAAATTCAAGGCCAGCTTGGTCTACATACCAAGTTCCAGGCCAGCCTGAGCTACATAGCAAAGCCCTGCCTCACAAGTAATTCATTAGTTAATGAAAATATCTGGTCCATTTATTCATAACTGCTAAAACAGTATTCAAGCAGGTTACCCTAGCATCAATCTTTTTAATTTGGTTCCTAAGATAACTCACTGAAAGGTTAGAGTGTGGTTGTCTCAGGAGTTCCTCTAAAATCAGTGTGTCCTTGGCAAAGCAGGCTGAATAAAGAGGATGGAGGTGTGTGATGTGAGCAGCTGACTTCATGGCATCATTCAATCACGAGTCAATCAGCTGACACACGCTTGGAAGCCAAGCTCGGAAACCCAACGCCAACACCACAGATGCGGCTTTATTGTCCCACACAATGAGGAGCTGGGATGGGAAGCAGGGTTGGTCCAGCAGGTCAGCAGTGCCATGCTGAACCAGGCTCCCAGCTCCTGCTCCGGACATGGTCAGCACGAGGCCTTATTCCCGGGGCCCCGTCTGCCCCCCCTCCCCCAACCATTCCCGAACAAACCTTGTCTTCTCTATCTCGGGGAAACAGGGACCAAGAGGACCGTTTTTCTTTGCCCAGACTTTGGCTAGGGCGGGGGTGCTTCTTTAGTACCTTGAATCGATCTGATTGGCCAGAACTATGTCACACTGCTGCTTTGGAATGTAAAGGAAAACCAGAAATGGAGGTTTTGTTTTGTTAAAATCAATGTTTAGCCAGGCATGGTGGCACACATCTTTAATTCTAGTGCTTGAGAGGAGAAGCAGGAGGGTCTCTATGAGTTCAAGGCCAGCCTGGTCTACATAGAAAGTTCCAGGACTACATAGAGAGACCCTGTCTTAAAATAATAGTAATAATGATAAAAAACAATAATAGTTGTTGTTGTTGTTTTTATTGGCTGGAGAGATGGCTAAGTGGTTAAGAGCATATACTGCTCTTCCAGAGGACCTGAGTTCAATTCCCAGCACCCACGTCAAGCAGCTTACAATCACCTGTAACACCAGCTCCAGGGAGAATCTCATTCCTCTGGCCTTTGCAGGCACAAGTACTCATACACACACACACACACACACACACACACACACACACCACTCTCTCTCTCACACATATGTGTATATATGTTTATAATGATTTGTTTTATGTGAGTGAAATTGGGCATGACTGTGCCACAGCATGTGAAGGCCCCAGACATTTTACTGGAGCTGGTTTTTACGTCCACCTTGTTATTAAGGCAGGGTCTCTTGTTTCTGCCAGGCTGGCTGCTCTAGGCTGGCTTCCCGTCCCTGCCTGCCATCTTGCCCTAGGAGTGCCAGGATCTCAGACGCACTCCACCTGATCCAGGTTCTGGGATGGAACTCAGATCAACAGGCTTGCGTGTAAGTGCTTTTACCTATGGAGCCCTTAGCCCTGTGCTTCTGTAGTTTCTGGGGTTTTATAGCTTGGTGGTTTGTTTGTTTGAGACAATGCTTCTCGAAGTGCAGGCTGGCCTGGAACTCCCTATGTCCTCAAGGATGACCCCGAACTCCTGATCCTCCTGCTTTTACTTCCTAAGTGTTGGGATTACAGATGTTCACAACTACACCTGGCTGCAGAGATGGAGGGGGTTTGTTTACTAAATAGGAGAAAACACAGAACAGGGAGGGGGTGGGTGGGGGATAAAAGGGGAAAACAGTTGGGAATGGATGCTGGATGAATCAACTAGCTTAACTGCTGTAATTAGCATGAGCAGTGAAGTATGGATTGGACGTGTGGCTTAATGGCAGAGCACTTCCCTAGCCTATTGAAGCCCTGAGTGAGATTCCCGGTACACAAAACCAATTAACAATCACTAATACTTTGTTGATGTTGCCATGTGTCTGAGACAGTGTCTTTATGTTTAAATGTACTTACTGGCTTGTAAAGGAGAAAAAATGTAGTAGACCTTTAGAACATGTCTATTACGATACAAGCTTGGATAACCCTTGAATAAAATGTCATGCCTGAAAATATAGCTCCATATTAAAGAAACATGTAGTGGGGTGTTGTGGTACACACTTTTAATCTCAGCACTCGGGAGGCAGAGGCAGGCAGACCTCTTTGAATTCGAAGCCAGCCTGGTCTACAGAGTGAGTTCCAGGACAGCCAAGGCTATTACACAGAAAAACCTGACTCAGAAAAAAAAAGAAACACGTCATGTAGGCTCTGATAACTACCTTTAGATCTTTTCCCAGACCTTGATTTTATGCAGTTTCAAAACTACAGCTTTTTAAATTTCATTTATTTTGTTTGATGTGCTTTGCCTGCATGCCTGGTTCCCTTGAGGCCAGAAGAGGGCATCTGATCCCAGGAAGTGGAGTTAAAGACGGTTATGAAATATCATGCAGCTGCTGGGAATTGAACCCAGATCCTCTGGAATAGCATTCCATGCTCTTATTCTTGGAGCCCCAAAAGTACAGTCATTTTTGAAACTTCAAACTGAACTAATACATGGAGCCTTTCACAAGTAAAATAATCACCTTTATAGTTGTCCTCACAAAATTTTAACCATTTGGAAAGATCCAAATGCACCACTTTTGTCCAGCTATCCTTTCCTCCCACAGCTGCCTCAGCTTCTGTTCAGTAGTTAGTCTTCTATTGACTAGAGGGCAGGCAGGGCTGGGGTCCAGTTCAGTTGGTAGAATGCTTGCTCAGCCTGTAGAAGGCCCGGGTTCCATCCCTATCATGGAGTATGCTGGTCTTAGTGGCCTGTACCTGTAATCCTAGCACTGAGAAAGCGGAGGCAGGAAGATCCGAAAGAAATCCAAGGTCATCCAGCCAGTTCAAGGTTAGTCTGGGCCCAGGTCCTTGTCCAGAAACAATAACAAAAGACTATGACAGGAGAGTTGAGTGTGGCACATATGCATGCCTTTAATCCCAGCAGATGCAGGTGGATCTCTATGAGTTCAAGGCTAGCCTGGTCTACATAGTGAGTGCCCCAGGGTGACCCTCTCTTTTAAAAAAAAAAAAAAAAAGACAGGAGACATGGAAAGGGGCAAAGGTACCCAAATTGCTCATTGAAAAATCAACCTGAAAACTACAAAGCCGTGGCTCAGTGGTTAAGGCACATACTACTCAGAGGAGTCTGTTCAGTTCCTTGAAACTAGATGCTAACTGCCTGTAACGCCAACTCTGAGGGAACTGATGCCCTCTTCTGGCCACCATGGGAACTGCATGCATGTGGTACACATACATACATTCAGAGGAAGTACTTAAAAATAGTAACAAATGACCACCATGGGAACTGCATGCATGTGGTGCACATACATACATTCAGAGGAAGTACTTAAAAATAGTAACAAATGACCACCATGGGAACTGCATGCATGTGGTGCACATACATACATTCAGAGGAAGTACTTAAAAATAGTAACAAATGACCCCCATCCCCCCAAAAAAATCTTTAAAATCACAATGAAGTATCACCCACCCACCACCACACACAAAAACTCAAGTTTAAAAGGCTGGTAACAGCCAGTTAGCAGTACTGGAGAAAGTACAGGGAAAGTGGGATAGCCACTTGAAAACAGTGGGGCAGTATTTTTGGAAAGTTTGATATAGGGATTAGCGAGATAGCTCGGCAGCAAAGGGCACTTGCTGTCGAAACTGACAAGCTGAGGTTGATCCCCAAGACCCACATCCTGGGAGAAGAAGGTCCACCCCCATTGTCTGTCCTCTAAGCTCACATGCGTGCTCTGGCAAGAATCTACACACATGCAGTAATGCAAGAAAAAAAAAAAAAGAAAGAAAGAAAGTTCGGTACACACATATGCTATGAGCCAGCAATTCTTTCCACAGGTATTTGCCAAAAAGCAGTGAAGACTGGTGACCACACAAAGACCTTTAAGGGATTACTCAAAGCTGTGGTTTCATGTTATATTAGCAATAATAGCTTTGTCCTAGTTAGGGTTCAGCTGTCGACTAGAACAAGCCCCAATCTAGAAACAGCACAAATGTCAAACAGCAGAATGGTAGAAAATAGAGGTAAATCCAGAGCAGGGAAGAACAGTCAACGGCTAAGAACAAAAAACCACAGGAAAGCATTGGGTGTGTAAGGGAAACATTGTCTTCATTCGGGCGACAGTGCATGAGTATATACATTTGCCCAAATGCATCTCTCTCTACAGGAAATAGACTTGAGGAGCTGGGCGTGTAGTTCAGTGACTGAGCATTTGTCTAGCAAGCAAGTAGGTTCAATTCCTCGCACCAGAAAAAAAAAAAAAAAAAAAAAGCAGTAAACCAGAATGCTTTTAAACTCAGTAGTGCTTACTTAAGAGCTCATCAGCAAACACCCTTTTGAGTTTGCTAAGTGCAAGTGTGGGAAACTGTTGATGGTGTTCCGTTTGTCTTAATGCTCGAGTCTTCAAGGAGGCACTCGAATCAAAATAATTGCGCTTCTCTCCTTGTTCTGGTCCCCTGTGGAGGCAATCTGAGAGAGCTCCGTGGAGTTCATTAGAGGCTCTGCATTTCAGAGGCTTATCAAAATGGACAAGCAGTAAGAGGTGGAAGAGGTAATTCTTGGGGGGAAATATTTTATTCATGCCATGTGACTTTGGGAATGTGTCTCGGGGACTTAAGTGCTGGTGTGGTCTGAAGTTTTCCTCTGCCTTCTGGCCTCTCTGACAAGAGGCTTAGCATGTCTTCCACTTTTTGAGTTTGAAGTCTTTTTTTATTTGGGGGCGCAGAGTCTCAGTCTGCAGCCCAGGCTGGCCTTTTTGTGGGCCTCTCAACTGCTGGGGTGACAGGTGTGAGCCAACATGTACCGCTCTCTCTTTGCAGGAAAGGGCTGTAAAGTGCTGGGGGTCGAACCAGAGCCTCAGACGGCCCGTAAGCTCTCTACCACTCAGCTGGAGCCTCCACCCTGAGGTTCACTTTGTGTTGGTTGGTTGGTTGGTTGGTTTTAAGAAAGGAAGAGTTTGTATCTCATAGCTTGAAGGCACAGTCTGGCAGGGCAGGGTGTCATGATCACGAGGAAGCAGGATCAGGAGGCAGCTGGCCACATCACGTCCTCCTTCTGAGTGTAGGGAGCAGAGAAATGTCTGCTGTTGCCACGCAACTCAACTCACTCGGTTGTTTTATTTTTGTTGTTGTTGTTGTTTTGTTTTGTTTTGTTTTTTGTTTTTTCCTTTTTATTCACTCTGAGACCCTAATCTGTGAGATGGAGCTGCCCACATTCAGGGTAAGTTTTCCCTCCTCAGTGAAACCTTTTTAAAAACACCTTCACAGACATTCCAGAGGTGTGTCTCCTAGAGGATACTAAATCTAGTCAGGTTGGCAATGAAGATTACCCCCTGTTCCCCATGTCTTATACTTAAAATAGCTCTCCCTGGCCCCGAGGCTGGAATGCTATCTGTGAACCCATAACTAAGGTCATGTGAGTGCATATACTCATCTCCATAAAGCCCAGGAGCTCCGGGGTCCTTCCAAATCCACCGTACCCTCCTGTTAGGTCACACAGTAAGACACTGTCTCAAATAAATAAGTAAATAAATATATTCATGCCCCAGAATCCTCCTGCCTTGCTTTCTCTCCCTCAGCACTTACCATCTAGAGTAATGTGGCTACAACATTGAGCAGCTACTCTTATCAATCTAAGATGGTTTTGTCCTGACCAAGAGAACATGGAAGAAGCTGTGGCGCTCCAGTACCTAGACCTCAGGACTGAGTCTCTCCCTGGGTCCTTATGGAAAGCAGCCCTGAAGCCATGATGCTTTTAGGATGCCTGAGAGGAGAGACCACAGGAGTCAGGGGCTGAGCTACTGCCCCACCCCACGTGCACGCAGTGGTGACTGAGCCTGCGTGGATCCAGAAAGGGCTTCACTGTAAGCCAACAGTTGCCCAGCCAAAGCAAATATAAGTACGCAGACATGTACATTTGTGTGAGATGAATGCAGAGATGGAAGAGATAAATGAAAAGCGTGCTGGAAACTAATATGGGGCAAAGTGACCTGACATGACTACGCCACCACCAACAATGGACCAGAGATAACTTTGGCCCAGGAGTGGTAATAAGGAAATAAGCAGAACGCAGTGATAGCTGGGTCTGTGGTGGGGTGATGGATTGTTAACACTCCCTAGCTGGGGGCGGGGAGGGGACACAGGCATACTTGGGGAAGCAGATTCCACCCTCCACTCCCTCTTGCTTCCCAGCTGCAGGTGGTCTTGGGAGCACCTACGGTACAGCGTAGGAGACACAAAATGTTAACTGAAGGACTCCATGATAAATCTAAATCTGCTGTGAGCAATCACCCATGATGGGGTCGGAATTTCGGTGATTCATCTGTCTGGGGTGTCACCCATAGTCTCGTAAGCAGCCCCTCATCCATACTCTTATAAAGCCCAATAAACACACCGGCTTCCC